TACACACACACACACACACTGAGATCAAAGCCCAGTATCTGGATCTGATCAGACTAATCTGTGATCAACTGATGTGAACACAGCGGGGATCACCAGTCTATTAGCATACCACAGATAACACACACACACACACACACACACTATAATCTGTGAATGTGTTTGTTTTCATGAGGGACTCCATCAGAAGAGAAGACACAGACTCTGCTCCTCATTACAGAGGCTGCAGCTCAAAGTGCTGCTGAATCACATTAATCATCTTTCGACTGCCGTGTGTTTCTGTTGTTCTGTATTCTGCATTTATATCAGAGAGGGTAAATCACACACACGTAAGTAGGACCCACAGCCTGGTTGAACTCATCATTAGTTCATGGCCGACATAAATACCGCGTTAACAAATTAATGAGGACAGCTGTGTGATGATTCTGTTTTCAAACATGAAGTCATTTGGACATTTTCAGGAGTTTCCCTTTTACACATGAAGAACTCTGCATTCAAGCGAGATGCTCTCTATTCTCGTTTTCTTTCCAAGTTCACATCTAGACAATGTTCGCAGGGTCAGGCGTGTTCAAAACGGAAAAGTTCCATAAGAAATCCAGAGCAACTGACTCAGACATGATGCGTTCTCACACTGTTCTGGAAAGTGATGGGCAAGAAGTGCATGTCTGCGAGAAGCTTGAGTGAAAGAGAGAGTAAAGAGTTAAAAGTGTGAGTTGTCTTCTTAACTTTGCATCCACACATTTCCCCACACCCACTCTCACTGGGAGGCTTATGTCATCGCTCGTTCTCTTTTTTTTTTGTTACAGAATCGTTCTGAACTCTGACACTGAGGAAGGAGAGGGAAATGAAAGAAAGCAGCGGAAGTGTCAGAGCTGTTCGCTTCAGCAGAGTCAAAAAGACACACAAACAATTTGTGTGTGAGAGAGAGAAACTAACTTCTGAACTTTATCTAGACTTGATAACCTGTTTCCTTTTTCGTTCTTTACCGTGAGAAGCATGAGATGGAGACCTTGTGTCTCACTGTAGCTCTTTATCTGCTTCACATCTTCTGTCCTCCCGTCCATAGACCCCTGACCTCTGTCCTCCTAATTGACAGAGGGTCACAGTGACCTCAGTGGAAGCATCACACAGCTTAAGGGATGCTCAGAGTTAAAACACCAACATGTGCTCACTGACAGTTTTGTTACTCGTGTTTTAACTGCACTAAACATGTGATGGCCGCTGATAACAGCCTCTTGTAAATGAGGCCGACCGTCTCTGACCTTTCACCCCTGGACCCGAGTGGTCATTGTCCAGTCATAGGTTACAGCCACCATCACCTGACCTCGGAGTAGTTCAGGATACAGTCTCGGGGCTGTGTAAAGACGGGATCATTAGCGTGCTCCGCCGACAGCATTTCAAACAACACTTGCAACTGTTTGTGGGTTTGCACAGTAGAAGTGCTGTTCGTCAGCATGACGTGTATCTCCTCCTTGTGTTGGGGGATGCTATCGGAGGCTAACATTAGCATCTCCGCCCCTCGACTAACAATAGCAGAGACAGAGCAGAGCCAACAACACTCTGCCAAAAAATATTTCAGTCTTTTCCTGTGTCCCAATTAAGGGGACACGTCCTTTGCCCCCCTGGACGGATCTGTTATCACCAAGGAAGAAGTAAGAGTTTGCTGGTTTACAATGCTCACGAGAGAGAATCATGCCGCCATCTGTCCAATGGTCAGTCGGTATTCTTGTATTCATGTAAGAAGTTAGAGAAGAATCTTGAGAACCAAACCTGGTGGTATGATGTTGTTGCTCTGAAGCGAGCGAGACCTTGTGGACGTCTCATAAAAGACAAATGGGTCTACAGGTGTTCTGGTATCAGACAATAACCCACTCAGAGGAGGAAACACGCCTCTGCTTCTCACCAGGTTGTCTTTTATACAATATAAGGACACTTGGAGTGAGTGGGAGGGTGGGAACAGTAGCTGATGAGATTCCAGAATAATAACTGCAGGGTCAGTGACAGGAAATACCAACAAACAGCGTAGAGCAGAGTTCCTGTTCGACATTTAACCAAACAGTCTGCTCCTCAACTGTCTTTCTGTCTGGAGCTATTTTTATCAGTTTCAAACCGCACTGATGGGCTGATGTAGTGGTTACACACTGACAAACAGAGATCCGAGATACGAAGAGCTTTCTCTGCCAAGGAGGACAAACTTTGAAGTCAGAGAAAGTTTGGTAGATTCCTTTATAAAATTATTTGTTCAAGAGTGTTTGGAATCCAATAAACGTTTTCTGCATTTTTTCCTGGTGTCTCTCTGGTTTATTTACTGGCCGAAGATCTGGAAAGAATCACAGAGCGGTTTAAGTTCCTCAGTGACTCTTTCAGGACAAGTATTCTTCCCCCCCCCCGAAATGTAACTAAACACAGTTCACACCAGCTGTACACGACTTCTACATGACTTCATACTTCAAACTGCTTGAAGCCGTTGTTTATTGAGTCACTGGTTTACAGTTTGAGTCACATGAAGGGTTTTTTCTGTGGAAGTTATTTGACTGAATATTTTCAGAGAACAGCAGAATGAAGAAGTTGATCAAGTGAAATCTGACATGACGAAATAGAGACGTCTTACGTTCGACTGTTTGCATCTGCACATCTTTGCATTTCTGCAATCGTGTCTGATCTCATCCGACTGCTGAGCTTTTATTTTGTTCCTCTGGTAACAAAGACAATAAAACAACAAACGGCACCAGTGGATGTGTGACGGTGGTTAAACAAGCGCCTGGAGCTAAACGCTACCGCCAGTTTTTCGTACAACCTTTATTTAATCATGTTTTCTCATTGAGATCGATATCTCTCCTGCAAGAGACGTCTGAGGACAGCAGATGAAAAGAAACAAAGCCAAACAAACAATGACAGATACATAGAATCCGTTGAGCTCGATGTGATAAAAACAAACCTCTCAGTTAACAGTTTACACATGCAAGTGTTTTGCACGATGACTTTGCATTTTATTTGTTTATTTCAGCATCGGGTGTTTTGCTGATTCATGCCAAGCTGATGTTGATCTGATCAGGCTGAATTATATTTTGTATTTCAGTGTGAGACAAGTGTGACGTGACATCCGGGCTGTTAGTGGTCACACAGCACTGGAAGTACCGGAAGTATACTTTCAACACATATTTAAGTAATGATGAAGTAAAAACTTGAGCTTGAGTTTTTCACCAAGTTATTTTTTAAACGTGAGTGTATTAAGATCAGTCTGATGGCAAGGTTTAGGATTATTATTTTTTTAATAATAGTCTCCAGAGAGATTCCTCAACATAATTACCAACAAGAATATAAAAAAAAAATCTGCTGAAGGAAAATGTCTTGTTGGTGGGAGAGGTCAGAGGTCAGACTGGTCCAAACAGAAATATGAGGACACTCGACATGTCTGCTGAGGTCAGACTGGTCCCACTAATACAAATAATATTAAGTTTTAATACCAAAGCCTCTTTGTATTGTTGTTGAGCATGTGCATCACTGTATGGACTCTTCTTCCATGATAATGTCACAAAGGAAAAGTCGTCTGGTTTAATGAAATTAGTTTTACTCCAATGACGTCCACAGTCACTGGATTTGAATCCAGTACAAAAACATTTCCCTCTATTAGAAGTGATTTTATGGTCGTTCTATCATCAAGGGAGAAGAACAGAGGGTGTTGTTAAACCCTACGAGACAAAATGCAACTCGTGATTACGCTCTACACAAATCAAGTGTGATTGATTTGATGTGGTAGAGAAGGAGACGTGGAGCTGACAGATCCACAGAAATGATGTGATGCCCCAATGTCAACATGGAGGAATCTGAGAGGAATCTGAGAGGAATCTGAGAGGACCCTGGCTTCAGACCGAGGATGAGGAGGTTTCCAGTAAAGTGCTGGTGAGAGCAGCTGACGGGGTATTCGTTTGTTCCAGCTTTCAGACATCGAAATAAGATTAGAGCAACTGACTTCATTCACACTGGGGTGAGAAGTGACGAGGAGGAAACACCCTGAGCCGCGTGCACTGAGAGGGTGGGGAGAGAACACCGTTACGCGCGTGCACACACCAGCACGCACGTTGTCCTGACGTCACATATGGAGACATGACACACGTGCAAAACCACCAAACCGTGAAACACACCACTGAAACAAGAGTTAGGGTTGAGTTAACAGCGGGTTTGGATTCGAACTGGAAACACCGACCGCAATTAACTGGTCCCCCAAGGTCTGTGACACACACACACACACACACACANACACACACACACACACACACACACACACACACACACACACACACACACACACACACACACACACACACACAGGGAGGGAGGATCTCCGCGCGCTCACTTGTGAGTTTCATTGGCTTCATGCTGAAGTTGAGTTGTTGTCTCATTTGGCTCTTCAGGGGTTTAATTGAATTTATTTGTCACTTTTAGTTTCAGCTCTTCTCTGTGTGTGTGTGTGTGTGTGACACCGGATCCTCGTGCCCCGCGGGCTCGTGCTGGAAGATAAACCGGAGGTTCACGCGCGTGTGGACGGCGCGAGGCTCAACAGGAGGTTTCTGAACGAGAGTCGCCGGGAGAGGAGCGGATTCACCGGACACCTCTGAGACAAGCCCCGGCTCTCCCCCTCATGTCTGCCCGCTGCTGACTCTACATCTGCTCGGTACCGACCGGAGCCACCGTCTGACCCGGAATATCTGCGCTGTGGACGGTACCGACACTTCTCTGTTAGTCCAAGTTAGTGGAGGAAAAGTTTTCAGTCATAGAATCACTACCGTTATTTTCTATATTTCTCTTCAGCCTTCAGAAAAAGTTCTTTTTAAAGCTCGATCTTTAACTTCAGGACAGAATCTGAAATAAATCTGGGAACAGTTTGATAACAAGTGTTTAATTCACACTTGACCTCACGTCATCAGACTTTACTTTAAAATGCTTCAGCTGTTTCAACAGGGCCGTATCTAAAAGTAAGGGGGCCCTGGAAAGATTCGATGCCGTCAGTGAGCCCCTCAAACAATCCGTCTGATTTCACCTGAGTTAAAGTACTTTTTTTTTTAAATGCAAAAATATTAAGAACATTTATTTTACTACTTTTATATGTCACATATTTATTGTAAATTTGATATTTGCTTATTCTTTGAAACTTTTAGTCGAACAAAGCAAAACGTTAAAGTGAAATGTATTGTGAGTGTTATTGTGAAGTGGAGTTAGTCCCAAGATTCAAAGATCTACAGCGCCACGTTTACACACGCAATCTGCCACAGTTTGAAATGTTTCATAGACTAAACAAAGCGAACATGGTAGTTTGGTTAAATGTGAAAATTGTAGTTTCACTAATTTAACTAAAGTGGTGTAACTAAGGATTATTTTTCAAATACTTTCATTGTCAGAGAATCAATTCATCATAAATCTTTTCTTCTTTCTGTATTCGTCTGCATTGTCTCGTTTCTGCTCTTTTGCACTGAATGAAATACTTTTTTATTATATTATTTATAATTTTGTGTATTATTGAATCCACCTGACCCCAAATCCGTCCTGATTTTGTGTATTTGTAAACTGTAAGATCTCCACTGGAGGTTCATGTAAAGTTATGTGGGTTTGAACAACGGGAGTTTGTAGAGGTGGAGATGATTGTTGCTGGATTAATAATTTCTGATTAGTGTCTCTCTGGTGTCCCTGCAGTTTGTCCTCCATCATGTATCCCTCTGCTGTCGGTGTGTGTGCACGCTGCAGCCTGGTCCTGGTCCTGGTTCAAGTCCTGGTCCAGATCCTGGTGCTGGTCCGTCCTGCAGCAGGATACAGTCTGGATCAGGAGCACAGTCTGGAGTTCCGGGGTCCCTCCTCCTCCATGTTCGGATACTCAGTCCTGCTGCATCGCCACAAAACTCACAAATGGTCTGGATCCATATCTTCATATCTGTATCGATCTACTATTTAACTTTTTTCGATCTTTGGGAGGTGATGGGTTTCTCTTAAGTTTTACAGCGTTGTTGGTTTCATCGACTTTATTGAAAATACGTGGGGTTATGTTTTAGGAAACATCTGGAAGTCGGGGCATTATGATCTCTGCGATGGAAATGACCAATTACTGCTCCTGTTGCCATCTCAGAAGATAACACACACACGTCTGAGCTGACATTTCAAAGCATTATGGGTTCTCATGATATGGATGATGAATCTCCTCAGTCATGAACTTTGACCATGGAAACGAATGACCCCTGCCCTCATAGAGCTGTAGGGAACTGTAAATCTTCATTTAATTATCAGAGAGATGCGTCATTTCGTTTGTGTGTGTGTGTGTGTGTGTGTGTCTGTGTGTGTGTGTGTGTCTGTGTGCATGCTAATTACCCAGTTCTTCTCAGTGACAGAAGCTCTTTGATGCTACACACACAGATGCCATTTAGACACTGAACAGATCCAGTGTAACTCTCTCTCTCTCTCTCTCTCTCTCTCTCTCTCTCAGGTTGGTGGTTGGAGCTCCTGTAGCAAACTCATCCTCCAATCCGTCGGTTCGATCCCCAGGAGCCCTTTTCCGCTGCGACGTCACTGGAGAGACGCAGCACTGCCATCACATGCATGCCGGTGTGTTTCTATCTAAGTCGTGAAAACCTTTTCCTCCTGCATTTCAAAGACTAAGGTCCCATTCACACCGACTTAAGGTTTTGCACCATCATTTATTGGATCAGATGAAAAACAGTCGTGGATCTGAAATTAAAATGAATCCATGAGAGAAACAGAAATGTAAAAAGATCCATTGTGTTATTTCACTTGTTGAGGTTTAACATTTGCTCTTTAAATCGTCAGATGTGTCAGGCTGTGGGAAGACGTGTGAAGCAGAAAGTGATCACCAGTGGCTGGGAGTCAGTCTGTCCAGGCAGCCCGGAGACAATGAAGGACACGTCCTGGTAACAGACACACACCTTCTCCCTCCCTTACACACACACACACACACACACGTCATTACCTATCATCACCTGTGTGTTAAGGCTTCAGCACCACAAGGTTAATACACAGAAAGAGTAAATGTTTATCTTTCATCACCTTCTCAAGAAGTATGTCATAGATTTGTCTATATAATGTAATTTATGGTATGTTAAATAATAACAATATATCACCAGTTTATCTAATTATTTAGTTATCTCATGTCTAAAATCCTAAATATGACAAAGCACAAAGTTTTATCAAGGAACAGAAGTCATAAGAGAGGCCACTGCAGAGGGAGACCCCAGAGGCCCGAGGCTTTGACGCTGTTTCCACATATCCGTCTAAAAATAGTTTTACTCTGGTATGAAAAATGGAAATGTTGCAAAATATTTGCAGTATGAGGATGATTTGTGTTTCCCGAAGAGGAATGTTAAAGCGTTAAAGCCTGTGAGAGAACCGAGAACTGCTCCTCCTTCATATTAATACTGTGCATATTTACAACACTATCATTACTGGTGTGGTCATGTGTGAATGAAGCCACTGTTGAGCCTTTTGCTGCTGACGCCTCGAAGGCAACGTTAAAGATTTCCATGACTGAAAGGAGCTTTTAACTTAGTGAGTTATTACAGCATCAACTGCTTTCCTCACAAATGGTCTCAGAGTGAAAGATTTTACTGCAGATTCGTTCTCAGTGTCATGGGAACAACAACACTGCTGCTAACTTGTGATAGTGTTACTGACACTAATGAGTCCATGTCACATGCTGTTTGTGTGTCTTATCCTGTGTGTGTGTGTGTGTGTGTGTGTTCAGGCGTGTGCTCACCGCTGGAAGAACGTCTTCTACTCAAAGAAGGACAGTCAGAACAACAAGCTTCCTAACGGAGTGTGTTATCGCTATGACAGCGACCTGAAACATGGTCGACCCATGATCCCCTGCTACCGAGGTACACACACGTCGAGTGTTACAGGCTTGTTCGGTTGTTTCCAGATGAAATCTGAAAGGATGAAGTTGTGGTTCTCTCAATTTCGGACGATAATATTTTGCGGAATTTAACCCATGTATTCGTTTTTGAATGGGCTCGGTTCATGGCTTAGATATATTATTGTTATTATTGTTAACACAAGACATTCATATTATGGAGGTAGACCCCATTACAGTTAAATAAATTGATAAATTAATAAGTGCAGAAGGAAACATGTCACATATTTCCTGGTACGTCATACTACAGGATCGTGAGATGATTAATTACACTTTCCTTCCATTCTAATCTACCCGATTAGAATGACCCGCTCTCGACCCACTTCTGTTGAAACTGACGCCCTTCTCACATTTTCAAATTTGGCATCATACCTTCTCACTTCGCTCTCGTATGTGTGAACGCAGCAGCGTTTGTTCAGCTGTGGGAGGAAATCGTTCATTTTTTTATCTTCATATGTGTTTGTTAACCTTCACCTCTCAACGTGTCTGTTTGCCCGTGTCTCTGTCTGTTGCAGACCACCAGAGGAAGTTCGGGGAGGATTACGGGTCATGTCAGGCTGGTATCTCGAATTTCCTGACAGAGGTCAGCAGCACACAGTCAACACGCTATTTTAAAATCCTGTTTCTCTTCACTGCTTCCACCAGCAGCCTGAAGATTGTCCGTCACCATCGTGTACATGAAGTTTATAAAAACCTGGAGTTCCCCTTAATGCTATTGACATGCACAAATGAAGTATGTCCATTTTAGATATGAGAACAAGACCTGACACTTTCATGTTTGCTAAAATGACTCAGTACTTCTATTGTAAAGCAACAAATGGAACAGAATGATAGTGTGACGATTCCAGATGTGTCACACGTGTAATTTTAAGATAATAGAGGTTAAATAGAAATATTTGGTACTTTACATCACAGAGACTCTGACATCTGCCTCTGTCCCTCAGGATCTGATCATCATGGGGGCTCCAGGGACGTCTTATTGGACAGGTTCAGTTCTGGTCTTCAACACGTCCAGTCGAGGGATGTCAGTGTACCTCGATGATGAAACTGGAACAGTCAGCTTCGGAAGCTACCTGGGTAGACAACACACCTTGCTGCTATATACTATTGATTTACTGTACCTCTGTGTCTGTGTTACATTTGACACCTGGTCGACGAGATGAAGAAATAGAATTTAAAGAATTTAAGAATGTTTCAGCCTCCTCTATAAAAAACCCAACGTTTTTTCAGTCCGAAGCAGAAACCGTGGCTGGGACTGTTGTTTATTTCCAGATGGCTGTTATGCTGTAGCCCAGGGGCGTCATTAAAAGCAACAAGGAGGTGTTTTATCGAGGTCTATTTACTTTTAGGACTTTTCACTTTGGTCCATGTCCAATCTGCGAACATGGAGGAGGCAGGGTTTATGAGCTATACTGCAGCCTGCCACCAGGGGTCAATAAAGATGCTTTGACTTCTCCTCTATGTCAGAAAGTTACAGCAAATGCAAATTAAACTCCTGGCTATGTTAAAATCACTTCAGCTAATGTGTTTGCCTTTGTGATGAGATGGTGTTCTGTTAGCGGTGCTATCGCTAAACAAGTATTGTTATATTCAGCACCATTTGTTTTTTAGACTGTACAGGGAGGAATAGTAAAGAGGACGCAGTGAGCTGCTTAAATGTAGATCTCATCAATGTAAATGTCTTTTACTCTGACACGCTGTGCTGCGAAAAACCATTTGCACTCTGCCAGCATGACTTTAATTACTGCGATCGCACACGGCTCCGCTCCCCATGATCGCTGCCGCCTCATATTGAAAAACAGTTCTGGGATTAATGACGCTGCAGCTTGATGAGATCTTTTTTTTTTATGCTCGGATGATGTGGAGCTAGAACAGTTTATGTCTCAAGAGCAAATGATGAAACTTAAATTAACTTGAATAATCATTTTTAATTCCATCCATACTCGGTTACTTGTACAGGTCCAGGTCACGTTCATTTAATCAGTTATTGACTTTATTGTCTCTATTGGTTTTCATTTAAAAAATACATTCAGTTGAATTGTGTGTGTTATTAAAAAGGTCTTAATAGTTTGGAAATGGAACTGAAACCCTCAAAACCTGATGTTAAGAAGCAGTTTGATGAACAGGAAGCTGAGCAGAGAGGTGTAATGAACAGTTTGTACTTTGTTTTAACTGCCGCTAGAAAACATCTGCCGCATTTGATCAACACAAATCGACTGAGAGAATGGTCTCCTGTGTGACTTTCTCTGATACACACACCCAAACACACACACACACACACACACACACACCCGTACCACAACTCAGTTATAACAATAACAACTACACATCAAACCCAAACTTTAACCAAGTTAACAACACAAGTCAATAATACTGAAAACTACAGTTTCAATCTTTCTCACTTGGGGCATTTTATATAGAAAACTCTTATTCTGAAAAGTAACTAGTAAATGATTCTCCTCTGAACTGCAGTGGAGTAGAAGTAGAAAGCAGCATAGAAAGGTAATAATCAAATAAAGTACTTTGAAATGTCAGTACTTCAGTGTGAACACTGTGTCCTTCAGGTTACGCTGTTGGAGCTGGTCACTTCCTGAGTCCTGCTACACTGGAGGTGGTGGGTGGAGCTCCGCAATATAACCAGAGAGGAAAGGTAGGAGCTGTTTACCTGCAGATCTGTTTACCGACTGTACGCCAAGTCTGTTTTTACTAGTGTGTGTGTGTGTGTGTCTGTGGGTCGCAGGTCTTCATCCTCACCGTAGACAACAGTTTTCTGCGGATCGTCTCTGAAGTGTCTGGAAAAGAGGTCAGTGACCGCTCAGCATCCTCCTCTCAAACTGTAGACGACTTTGTTTTGACCGTGTGTGTGTCTCTGTGTGTGTAGCTGGGATCTTACTTTGGCTCCAGTCTGTGTGCGGTGGATCTGAACGCTGATGGTTTGTCAGATCTGTTGGTCGGCGCTCCCTTGGCAACTGGCGCCGCCAGGGAGGAGGGGCGAGTGCACGTGTACATAAACCAGGGGCAGGTGAGCACACACACACACACACACACACACACACACACACAGAAAGAATAATATGATTATTTGTCCTCAATGAAAATAATGAGAAGTCGGCTGCAGCACTAAACCATCTCGTCCTCACTGACCCGCTCTCAGGCGAAGCTGTTGGAGGCGGAGTTTCACCTGACTGGCAGCGATGCCTACGCCGCTCGGTTTGGAGAGACCATCGCCGACCTTGGCGACCTGGACGACGATGGTTACCACGGTAATACCTACACCTGCACAGCCTGACCCATCAGCTATTACAAACACTACTCTTGATACTACCAATACATATGCCACTATTACTGCTGAAAGTAACATTGCAAATATATATACTATGACTGTTTCTCCTGCTTTATACACTGGTTGTGTATTTTAAGGGAGCACAACCCACCCAACACCAACAGTAGCTGCCACTTGGTGATAATTAAGAGACGCGACTCTAACAGACGCCCTCACACACAAACAGACCCCCTCACCATCTGTGGAGTGTGTGTGTGTGTGTGTGTGTGTGGTGTGAGGGGTGTGAGGGGTGGAGTGTGTTATTAAGTTCATTAAAACTATAATGACAAACTCTTGCTGCTCTTTAACTGAACCCTGAACCTGCCTTCTAATCTGCCACAGTTAGATAAAAGACTGTGTGTGTGTGTGTGTGTGTGTGTGTGTGTGCGTGTGTGTGTGTGTGTGAATGTGTGTGTGTGTGTATGTTCCAGCAGCTTGCCATTTGTAAAAAAAAAACCTTTTACTCTCAGGACTTCACATCTTCAAAAGACTCAGGTTAAACATTAAAGGACCATTCTGCTGTTTCCCATCATGTACTAACTCTGACCACTTTCATCCTGCTGAACATTTTCCGACTGTTTTAGGAATGTGAATGTTTTAGGTCCAAAGTCCGACTCAACACACACTTTACCCCCCTCAGAGCCACGTTTGGATGATTTGCCATAAAGTCATTCCGATCGCTAATTAGCACATTTCATCCTGTTCATTTGTTTACGAGCCAAAACTTTGTCAAAAATACAGAGAAGGTGGAAAAACCCTGCAACAGAAACTAATGAGCTACTGGAATGAAGGATATCAACCTGTAGGTGAAAGGTCGAGGTTAGGTTGATGTCATGGTCCTCATGAACACAATAATATTAACTGTGTTTGTAGATGTGGCGATCGGTGCCCCGCAGGAGGACGACCTGAAAGGAGCCGTCTACATCTATAACGGAAGGAAGGAGGGAATCTCACCAACTCCATCTCAGGTACAAACGCTGACAGCAATACAGCAGACCTGTGTATGACAATAATAAGCAGTAATAGTTGGTAATATTACAGTTTTTTTTGTAGTTTTTACTGTAAGTTAAGCAGATGAGTAATCATAAATCATATTTATATCATCAGAGAATTACTGGATCCACCTTGGGTCGCGACCTCAGGATGTTCGGCCAGTCGCTCAGCTCTGGCATTGACATCGATGATAATGGCTACCAGGGTAAACCTCTCTGTCACTACAATCACTTCCTGTGTCACAACATTTATCTCATCACTCTCCATTAACCCAGTTCAACTCTCTGTCTGTGCAGACGTGGCGGTCGGTGCATTCCTCTCGGACGCGGCTGTGGTTCTCAGGTAAGACCTCAGAAGACCTATAAGTGTAATTCTGTCGTCACGGAGGTTTACAGGGAGCACACGTTTCATTTGTTTAGCTGATTTAGAAGAAGCAGTATAACAATGTTAATTATATCACATGAATTCATCTCCTGTTTTCCATCCATATGAGAAAATCCATCAGAATGAATTCCAGTCCATTCACGAAATACCGTGATCGTTTCTCTGAACGTGTCCTTTTTTGCTGTAGGACCCGTCCAGTGATTAAGGTGAAGGCGTTTCTGACTCTGCCTGAGCAGATCGACCAGCAGGTGGCGCTGTGCATAGAACACAAGACTCCTACCATCTGCTTTAATGTCACGGTCTGCTTCAGTGTCTGGTCCAGACATTTCAGAGGAGCCATAGGTAAAACCTGACTGTTGAGTGTTTGAAACTGAAATTAGACCGAACCTGCAGATGTTTGAGATGAAAAGTCGAACTCAGTTGACCTAAAATTCTTAGTATTAATTAAAAACCAAGGGTTAATTACAGTGACGAGGTGTTGTTTAGAAAGTACAAAAAATAACACCATCAAATTCTACAAAAACAAAGTATATCTCATTGTACACGACTTCAACAGCTGGAGGAATCCACAGCTTGTAGTGTTCAGACATATTCGTTAAATTCGTGACTGGATTATCGCTGTAGAGGAGATTATTTGATTTACCTACTTCATATTGTTCTTCTCCCCATTTCAGATCTTCAGTATAATTTGACCTCTGACCTCCTCCATAAACCATCCTTCCCTCATCGCTTCTATTTCCATGGTAACGGATCATCCAACAGCACTAGGGGTCATTTGAGAGCCCGACACGGACATCTTACTTGTACAACACACGTGGCACACCAAAGGGTAACACACACACACACACACACACACACATGCAAAAAACATATATTCAATATTGGCTTAATAACATGTGAATGACTGAAAACAATGTTTACCTTCTCTTTCTCCTGCAGAAAGACGTGAGGGACATTTTTACTCCGGTCCAGTTTGAAGTTTCTTATGGTCTCAGAGAAACAAGCTCCCACAGAGCCTCCTCCAGAACCTTCCCTCCCTTAAAACCCATCCTGCAGCAGAGCGCAGGACACCAGAACACCATCACCAACCAGGTACTAACCAGTGTAAACACCACCATTAACCAGGTACTAACCAGTGTAAACAC